CCGACGATCGTCGGGGCTTGTTGCATACGACTTCGGGGATATGTCCCCGACGATCGTCGGGGCTTGTTGCATACGACTTCGGGGATATATCCCCGAAGACCTTCGGGGCTTGTTGCATACGGCCCCAGGTTGCGCTATGGGACCTGACATCAAACGCGATGTTGTAGTTACCCTAGCGCTGCTCTAACTGTTTGGAAGGTACAAACGCAGAGGTATGGCGGGTCCTATGACGCAACCCTGTCTCCCCCAACATTAGGATTGAACCAGCGGCGAGGGACGCGTGCCCTTGGGGGAAGGATTGAATACGGCCGCACATATCTCCCATACACGGTAAAACGTTTGGGTGTTCCATCGCACTATGCCATACCGTCGAAATAACGTCAATAATATGATGAAGTCAACGGCCAGCAAAAAATTGACCAATATGCAAAATTTATTCAAAGGTACGTACCCTGGCAATTATTCCTTGACGTTCATGGTAATCCAAAACCTGCTTGCGAATGAAAGTAAGATAATTAATGACATCCCCGTTGATGTCCGGAAACTCGAGACCATCCTAAATGGAAAATTAGTATATTAGAAACAAATACATTCGCACTTAATTGAAAGGATTCAAATCGTAGGGACCAAACTAAAATAGCCGTACTTCTACACAACCCTTCTTCAAAACATCATCAAGCACCTAGTCTCTGAACAAAAATCCATCTTTACATTCGCAAAGTAGTGGTCGCAATAAATTCCAGTGGAAGGAATTGGCGAAGTTCCATAGTGGATTGGGTAGGAGACATTGGAGAAGACTCTGTTCTCGTTCTTGCCGACTGTTTCTTCGCGTTTTTTCATTACCAACATAATTCTATTTCCACATTCACTACAAGCGTAATAACGCATCAATTTGATCCCAGACTTTTGCCTTTAAGCAACAATCCCAGCAGGGTTTTTACCTTCAACACTAATGGTGTGGAACGATGCGCTAGCCCTAGTCAAGAACATAAGTGACTGAACAAAAAACTCACCTTGGAAAGCCGCTAGAAAGGGAGCTGAACGGCTTCGAAGTGGGCGTGGTTGCTCAGTCGGCTGCAATCCCTCGGCCGACTTCCAACCACGCCCACTTCGAAGCCGTTCAGCTCCCTTTCCAGCGGCTTCCAAATGTGCTTTCCAAGTGAGTTTTTTTGTTCAAGCAGCACTTCTTATGTTCTTGACTAGGGCTAGTGCTTCGTCCCTCATCATTAGTGTTGAAGATAAACACCCTATAGGACTGTTGCTTCAAAATAGATAGAGCAAATTGAGTTAACATTTTTCAGTTCGTTCGGGCCAATTTCTCACTAAATACAGGTATGAACAACTTTCTGGTTCCTCTATACCTTCTCTCCGACGTGTTTTTTGTTCTATTTAGCGTAGCATTCAATTCATCAGAAACCGTGGCTAGCAAGTATGTTCACTTAACTAGCACACAGCAGAGTATGACAAGTGACCACAACTTTCTAACCGTATGGGATAAAAACTTCGAAAGAATCATTTAAATTGGTAACAACTCACCAGTACACTTCGTGCCATCTTCGAGTTAATCTCGTTTGCCTGAGGATCTTGCGGCGCGCCTACAGCTACACTTGCACCCACTATTTAATTGTGCCTGCGGCGGTTGTGGTTCCAAGGAAGCGTCTACTTGAGACACACGGAAGCAAGTTGGAGTTGATTCAAACGAAGAAGAAGGATTAGCAGAACCCCACGTAGGTTCTGCTCCATTTTCTTCTGACATTCCAGGTACCATTTCGCGTGGGAAAATTCCTGCTTGCTGCAGCAGCTTTAGTGTGGGGTCCGGTTCGCTCTGAGCAATTTGTGGCTCTGTGTCCTTAGAATTAGTGAATTCCGAAGACGAGGAATTTACCAGGATTCCTTCCTTTACCGTAGACGAAACTTGCTCGGCAGGCTCTCGCGATGTTTCAACCGTTAGAATGTCTTGGTAATTGCCACTCGGTGAAGGATTTTTTGCATCATCGCCATCAACGCTCGTTGAGGATCCCTTCTGCAGAGAAGTTGATGAAATTTCCGGTGGACGTGGTGCAACTCCCTGCTGTTGAATGGGTGTTAGCTGACGAACGCTCCACAGGTGACATATCAGGAGTCAGTAGAAAGGCGGTTTCATTACACTGACTTCTGAAAGAAGCTGAAATGGATATTCATTGCTACACGTCACAAATAAAATTTCAAAAATGAAAAATGGTTTTTTAAAAGATAACGATACCTTGAACATGTGTCATCGGTACCTAGCTGAATGAGAAGCTCCTCGGCCGGCAGGTTCTGGAATCGTTGAAGGAATAATTCAATTAATACTATTCATTTATAGAAATAATATATAGAGGGGATTATTGATAGAAATACCAGTTTTAACGCCGGACAAACGCCGGAATCTCCCATCTTCAAAGCAACAGTTCCAGCAGGGTTTTTACCTTCGACACTAATGGTGTGGAACGATGCGCTAGCCCTAGTCAAGAACATAAGAAGTGTGACTGAACAAAAAACCTTGGAAAGCCGCTAGAAAGGGAGCTGAACGGCTTCGAAGTGGGCTCCTTTCTAGCGGCTTTCCAAGGTGAGTTTTTTGTTCAGTCACACTTCTTATGTTCTTGACTAGGGCTAGCGCATCGTTCCATACCATTAGTGTCGAAGGTAAAACCCTGCTGGGACTGTTGCTTTAAGTAAAATTTACGGCTTCTGCGCCCTTCCACTTCTACACCAACACCTCGTGAAGGGGTGGGGTATGCACATGTTTTATGATAGACTGCAGTATCACAATTATGATGTGACATTACCTGTGTTGTAACCGTGTTAGGGTGTTCCTTCGTCGAGTTCATGCAGCTACCAAATTCCGATGCGTCAGAAGTAGTCGAGTGGATTCGCTTCTGATTCTGAACAATAATGAATGGATCACTCGCTCGTAAGTAAACGGAAATCACTGCTTTTGTAAAATATCAAACGTTACTGACAAGCGGTAGGAATCCATTGTAACACAATTCCGTGAACATACGGCTCGGATCTGGGAGATCGGAAGGTTCTGGGGCAACAGCCGAAGTCTGAAGCATCCTTATGCGTCGGTAAAAAGTCGTTATAAGATTAATATTCACATGAAGTTTCAAACTCTCGAATGTCCCTGCCCCCGTTGTTGCGAGCTTATAGCGCTGCCACAAAATGCAGAGGTGGCAGACGGCGAGCCCGTGGAAAAAGGAAACACTCAAAAACTCCCTTTACCATGTGAACTTCGGGAACGGACGAGTCTACCCCTAACCTGAAGATTGACAGAATCAAGTTGAAAACTGACATTTGGCTACGGCAATCGAGGTTGTTTAATAACCGGTGCAACAGTGCACTTAGAGAAGGAAACCGGAAAACGTCTCTGATAATTTCGAGAAATTTTGAAGATAGGCTACTGCAATACAAAAAAGACATTTAGCTTCTAGACAGAAAAAACTCCATCAAAATCAAGAAACAAGAAATTTTAATAAGGCACCCAAGTAAGATTCAGAAGGAAATAGAGCTCAAGGGACTCCGACGAAGTGGCAATCCTGAGGGGAGGCTGCATTGCGTGAGAGCTCGACATGTTAAGCAACAGTCCCAGCAGGGTTTTTACCTTCAACACTAATGGTGTGGAACGATGCGCTAGCCCTAGTCAAGAGCATAAGAAGTGTGACTGAACAAAAAACTCACCTTGGAAAGCCGCTAGAAAGGGAGCTGAACGTTTTCGGAGTGGGCAGTTGGAAGTCGGTCGAAGGGATTGCAGCCGACCTTGGCGACTCACGCCCACTTCGTAAACCGCTCAGCTCCCTTCCAGCGGCTTTCCAAGGTGAGTTTTTTGTTCAGTCTTACTTCTCATGCATTTGGCAAGGGCTAGCGCATCGTTCTCACCATTTGTGTTGAAGATAAAAACCGTGCTGGATTCTTTAAGTAGAATTCAAGTAAGAATTCGAAATGAATCCACCATTTCGATAGTAATGCTCCTACTGGTTCATAATGCTCTCACCTTGGGAATGGCATTGAATCCGAAATCTCAACGCTCTGTTCCGTGCTCGCGGAATTATTGAGCTGTGCATCAATAGTATCTTGACCAGCATGTCCATTTGAAGATGAAAGTAGGTCCAAATCACGTACCCTGTAAAATATCACAAATGTCGTAGCATCGATAACATGCATACCTAGAGGACTCATCTAAAACGGCAGATATGTGAAAGAACACCCTTCGAGTTGTACAAACCTTCAGCGACTTGAGCAATAGTACTGCCTGCGTTAGGTTCATACTTCTCACTTTTCTTCGCTGGTATTCTTCACATGAATATGCAAACGTTCTGCATAGAAATGAATGCCCACCAAAGTTTAAGTTCGATATCACCCTTCAGTCCTTTCGGTCGCCAGGCGAGACTTTCAAGATCCATTCGGGATACCTACAAACACCACTCTACCCTACTTACTACAAGCGCTTCATCTGTCGCTCTACAGGTCTGTATATCTGTCACAAAATTCCCGTACTTCCTGCGGATTCGCCTGAAGGGACCGGGTCAAGTATGGTCAGGGTGGGCACGAAGACTAAAAAGAAAGCGGATAGAATCCAGCTCAGAAATGAGTCATATATTCGTAGACTAGACGAAATTGAGATTTTCTGCGTAACTGTTCCACATTGCAGCAGAATTGTGTTGTGCGCACTGGCCTAGTTGCTGTAGAAAAAATGGGTACGAAAAAAAAACAACAGAATAATCAACAAATTGGGCCTACTTTGACACAAACAGGTGTAAATGCGATGTTGCCTAGACTAAAGGGCGAATTAAAACATTGAAGAGAATTAAATGTGGACTGTTCTAGATGAAACAAAGGAGAAGAACCAGAAGGGAAATTTGGGAGCTAATGAACGAACAGAGTACTCAGCAAACTGTTCCCTTTTGTTTGGTCCTCAACTTTATGTTTCCACATCATGTAATTAAGAAATCATTGTGAAACACCATAGTAGTAGAACACTATTTTTATTGAGCTTACCATTAGTCGCTTTCCGCAGAGAAAGAGAACCTTTTCGGGATGTAAATCAAGACAAAATTACAGTCTGCCACGTTAAAAATAGGGAAAGAAGGAATTACAATCAAATTGAACAAATGGCCAATACTATGGCAACCACTGAAGCTTTGCAAACGTTGCACAAGAAAAAGAAAACGAAAATGAACCTCACCTCAGGGTTAATATTCTCTGGAGATTGTCCGGAATGATCGTCTGCAAGATCACTTGAGGAATTGGACTTTGGTAGCAATCCATTTTTGTCCGTCGAGCAATTGTTTGTTGAGAGAGTGGAATGTAAAGGGATAGGAATGAGGAGCTACAAATAGTAGTTCGTTAAGAAACCATAGATATCTGCAAAAAATCCTGCGGCTATGAAAAAAAGTGGAAAGGAATGGGTAGATGGAATGATGCGAAGATGGGCAATTATTCTCAGGGTAGAGAGATTAATCAGACTTCGCCGAATGCCGGCGGGAGTAGGGCGGGGCCCATTCTGGCAATGGAAATTAGGGTGTGGTTCACTAGGACAGAAAAGCGACTTTTTCGCGTTTCGCAGCGCGAAACATTGCTCGTTGCGGGAATCTCCGGGTCCCACCTGATTATTCGCTGCGGGAACCCTCGGGTCCACTAATGATCAGCGGTGGACCTGAGATTCCCGCGTAGGGCGGAAATTTTTTCGCGCTGCGAAAACGACTTTTTCGCGTTTTGCAGCGCGAAACATTGCTCGTTGCCGGAATCTCGGGTCCTCTATGGTGTTGCCACGGACAGCTCCTCTACAGCCAATTAGAGAACGGCGCCAAGCTCTACTCCAAGTCTCAAGGAGGACGATGAGAGCCCTAAGACTATGTCTTTGGACCGTAACCCTATCCCTCCTCCAGGTGGACGCGTCCCCCGCCGCTGATGCTATCCTAATGCTGGGAGAGAAAGTATTGCGTCATAGCACCCGCTATTGAACGCGTGATGTTGTAAGGTCGACAGACTACTTGAACTGGCTCCTATAAGCTGCCTCAATTCACACCCTCGTCTGCGCTCTCGCCTTATCAGCGGCTCATGACCACAATAACCGACACATTCAAACTTTTGCCTGTAGTTGGCTCACCCACCTCGAAGTCCCTCCCCCTACAAGGCTTAGTCCTACGGCTCTCCCCTTCTTGGGATTTGGAGCCGAGCCAGGCGCCATTCTCTAGTCGTCTGTGTTCTCCGCCATTCGTGGCAGGACCACAGAAGAAGTCCGTAAACCGATGTTGTAGCTACAACCCTCGTTGCAGCACTCTTTTCCCTGAGGGGTCACGCGGTCCGGGGTCTAGGAACGCAGAGTATGGCTGGTTCTATGACGCAACCCTGTCTCCGCGTGTATATGTGAGATCACATCATAAGTGGTCATGAGCCGCCGTTAGGCGAGAAAACGCGGGAGCACAAAATTTGGGGGGAGCTAAAGACGAGTTCACGTAGTCTGTAGACGGAATCAAAACGACACACCCCACTCACACTACGATCGCGATTGCAACCGCGAAGTGTGACCCCTAACTTACCTACCGACTAACATAAATTGTGTCACATCACATAACTTGTTTCCACAGCTATAATAACAAGACTCGCACCTCTTCTGTACAACTAGTCGACTCCAAAAGCTCAAATGGGTCCACTACATTCGACGACGGGATACTAGTATCTTCAGTGCCAACAGCAATTGAATTTGTCTCCGCTTTCAACTTCGCTGAAAATCACTACATAACCACAATTTTCACAAAACTTTTGAGATCAACTGTATAAAAACTCATGCAAACCTCGGTCAACCATGACAAGGAGATTATGTGGAGGGCACGCCTCTCTGAAACATTCGAGTCCCTCGAATTCTGGCAAAGCAAAGATTTCGACGACAGTCTTCTTGCCTGTCCACTCCTCCAGCACCTGGAATAAATCGCATGAGGTGCAGTACATGAGTACATGGCATCAGAAGGCTTGTTTTTGCTTCATCCGAGTAAGAACATGCAAGTTATCCGAAAAGTAGGCTCCAAACCATGCAGCGAAATTTCGAACTCGCTACTTATTCTCGTTCTTCCTGCCCGCACCTACGCAATACTGCTCATCAGTATAGAACTATTGCAAAGTATAAAATCGAAATACAAGATTTAAAAGCAGCGGCCACGTGAGTTCGATATAAGTGAAACATGGCCGTTTATTCAGGCTAGCTTCACAGCTAAGATGTGGAAGATCAGATGATTTACCTATTACCTTGGGAGGGGGTTGTACGAGTTCTTCTTCAGAATACTACCACGATTATCGTGGCCGCTGCGTTTGAAAAAACGACTGAGAAGCAAGTGAGACACCTTTTCATCAAGTGCATACTGGAAAAAGTACATTTGAAGTTGGTATCGACCAAGTAAGTCAATATCCGGACAGTCGTCGCCAGTCATCATTTCATAGAAACGTTGTTGAACAGATTCCCAACTCACCTAAATATTCATTTTTAAATGTTCCCTGAATAATACTTTCATGAAATGACTTGACAACTTTATGGCCAAACGCTGATGATTGGGCGAATTTTAAAATTCACAAATAGCTCATCCTAGGAGCACAATTACTGAACCAATAAGTGATCCACCGCTTCAGGAGAAATTTTGAAAGATAGTTCCTTCGAAAGAATCATCATGAACGTAAGCCAATTTTAAACTAAAGGTACTCATCTTCAAATGATTAGTGGGAAAACAATGCGAAATCAATTTAGTAACCATGTTGATGCAAAGTAAAACGAACGAAGCTCAAAAAGAAATATGGATGAGGATCGCTAGGGAGAAGTGACTTTTTCGCTTTTCGAAGCGCGAGCCACCTCTGATCATGAGCGGACCTGAGGTTTCTGCATCAAGAACGTTCCGCATTTGCGAAAAGCGGAAAAGTCACTTTCCGCCCTAGCGATTCACACCGAAGAAATATTGCGGTATGACTAACCACAGTCTTATTCAGTGAGCTCTGCACTCTGCTTATAAGCTCCTCGAGGAAGTTCCGCACCTGAATCACTTTGTTACCAATGCAAATTCGTTCTCTAAATTTACATAAGTCACATTTTCTAGAGCGTTGAAGATACTCTGTGAAATTTTGAACTACTAGGAGAGTAAGCTTACAATTGTCAAATTGTAAGTGGAATCTGACTGGGAACAAGTTACTGCTTCTTCCACACTGAGAACGTCTCTGAAAGTTGCCTTTCACTTCACATTCGAAGCAAAGTGTACTACTGCACCGCCTCTCAAAATTTTCAAAAATCTGAGAATTTGACATGAAAGTAAAATTTTGGTCACCGACGACACAGGACTTACTCCGAATACTGGTAATTGAAACCATTAAGTTGAAAAGATGACGGCTTTTGATGGTCGACTATCACTGGTGATATTTTTGAAAAACCATTATCAGCAGCCTGCTGTATCTGAACGCTTGTCTGCGCTTTGGTTGTCGTCTTGGGCATAAGAGAAGCCTAAAACAAGTCATGGAGTGTTCATAGTGTAGTCACACTGCAAGGCCAAGCTTGGTTACTACACCGCGGGGTTTTTCAAAAGCAGTTTGTTCGCAAGTATCCAATTTTTCATTTTGTGAGTGAATGCAAAAGAAATAGATTATCATAAAAATAAAATACTATTGGAGGAACAGACCAGAAAGCTAAAGAGTTTAAGAAGAAAGAAAATCGACCCATATGGCAGCAACATTGATCAAGCATTCTAGCATTGATAAACTGTGAAATTACCGAGCGTGCTTACCGTCAGAGTATCAGACGTAATTATTGAAGAATTATGACACATGGCATCAGAGCATCATGGAGCCCATGGGCCGTATGCTATCCTCCCCGAAGGGGTTGGGGACGAAAATCCTTTAAATTTTCTCTGTCTTCCCATGGGATTGCCCTGATAAAGGGCCTACATTTAATGTATGTATGTAGGTAAAAGTAAACATGCACTGAAAATGAAGAAACTATATCGTTCAAAACAAATAAATTTAAAGGAAACTTTGGATCACTTCGGGGAAGCATAGCATACGGCCCAGATGCTATCAGATGCCACGTGTGCGTTGATAAGTGCAACCACGACATGTTTGGTCGCGAGTAATTGAAGTGAAGACTAAATTTTCGACATTGAGAAACTCGAACTCTTGCGTGAAAAACCACGCGAGACTACGCGCAACGTGTGACCCAGCTTCTAGCCCATTCAGAATGGACTAGAAGAGTTACGGGGAAATTGTCAGATATTCGGGAACCCAAGGACTTTGCAAAACAGTGGAGGAAAACAGAGGAGGAGCACTCCACTGTGCTCTGCGTCCTTAGCGCTACGGACATCTTGATGACACGCTTAGTTAAAATTTTGATGGGACCAGTGGACTAATCTCAATCTGAAACACTCAATCTAATTCACAGCATGTTCAGTGGTTCATCCGCTCTGGAGCTCCTCCCCTGTTCCATTCCCATTCCCACTCAGTACTAGGCAAAAAAAAAACCTGTTCTTGGCCCAGTATCGCTTCTCCAGGCCAATTCAGCCCGACGCTATCAAAAAAACACTATGAATGAAAATATCACCAACACACTCCCTTAAAGGAAGTGGTCACGGAAATTCTATGGAGACGATAGGGAAAGTGACATAGTGGATTGGGTAGGGGTCCTACCCAATGGGACGACAGGTGACGCTTCAGGGCAGTGGCGCCTTATCAACGGCGTGATAAGGCGCCGAAACCCACTTCCGGTTCGGCGTTGCACCTCCTTATCAGACGTGGAAGGGGATGCAACAGCAGCGTGCTAGATATGATACGGTTATCGTTATCGTTCGATTTTCATGCTGGAGTGCACCTCATTCCAAGCAGCCGTACCTTCTTATCTAATCGTATCGTCTCTTAGGGTTAAAGGAAGCTATCACGCTGGCTTCCACGTGGA